AACGCCAAAATACCATTTACTGGAGATGATCGAGATTTTTATTATGAAATTAATCTTGAAGAAGTTTCTCCAGTTTTGTTACAATATGTAAGAGGTGAAAGAAAACAAAAAATGGAAGCTGCTGAATGGTTACTTTATCTTGATTACAACACGATCAAATCAATGTTTGACCCGATCATTGAAAGAATTTTACGTATGGTGCATGTTCAGATTGAAAATACTTCTGGAGTTGACAAAGATATTGAAAAAAGGAAGATCGATATAATTTTTTTGGTGGGGGGGTTTGGTGAATCAGTATATTTGCAAAATAGAATCAGAGAAGAATTTCCAGATCATAATATTTCAGTTCCTACCAATCCTATTGCAGCAATTTCTCGTGGAGCAGCAATTTATGGCTTGAGCTTTAGCGAAATAGATATGTTAGATATTAATGGTCAATTTATTATTGATTCGCGTGTATTAAAATTTAATTATGGGATAAAAGTTTGGAAATACGAGGAAGGATTTACTTTTAAACGTTTAGCAACGAGAGGAGTTGAAGTTAAAATCAATGAAGAATTTAGTGTTAGAGTTCGACCCAGTCACCCGTTTCAAAGCACTGGGATATTTGAAATTTATTACACACAAAGTTTTTCAGCGAAAACTTGTGAAGAGGTAGGAATGAAATTGCTTGGAAAACTTAAAATTGATTGGTCAGAAGATAAGCATGAAATGAACAGACCAACTACTTTTAAATTGGCATTTGGTAGAATGGAAATCAAAGCGACAGCAAAAAACGAAATTAACGGTCAAACTTATCAAACGTCCTTTGATTTAATAGACGAATGAAAAATTTTTTTTTACATTATTTTTTTTTTGTTGCAATATTTACTAGAATTCTTTTTTTTTTCATGTTTGAAATTAACAATGTTTATTTAAAGAAATTTGATAAAGAATAAAGCTTTTGTTTATGTTATATATATGTGGTTATTTCGCAATTTATAAAGAAGCGAATACATCGTAAATTCTAAAATTTGAAACTATAAAATCATACTTCTTCGTCGGTCTCATTGGTAACTCGTGAAAATACTTTTGCGACTATAAATACTTTTCTATTTGGAGACGCCAAATCTCGCCCAATTAGAGGAAAGTAACAAATACCAACACGTAATTGATTGATGTTACCATCATCATCGTCCCAATTTCCGTTCATTATATTTAAATATTCTTTTACAACAAAGTTGGTTGAACATTTAGACGAAACCAAAATAATTTGTAAATATCTTGAACAAGTTTTGGTGCCATCGCTTCAACTTTCTTTT